ACTTCACTTCCGGTAGATTTCCCGGTGGTAAAAGCAGTTTCACGATAGAGAAACGGGCAAAAGATTGAAAAAAAAATAATAATAATAATATTTAAAAATAAAAGGGATCGCAAACAGACTTCTTTGTAAAGAGAAGGGTGGGGTGTGTGTGTGGGTTGCGAAGGTATCGGTAGAAGAACGGGGAAATAAAAATTAAAGGAAGATGAGAAAAAAATTTCAATGAAACTCAAAAAAAAAAGATGAAAGCGGAAGACGGCCAACGAAATGAAGATGCAAAATAAAGAATTCCGTTATTTTCTGCTTATTCCTCAATTTCGCGTTCGCCACGGTTTCGCCTCTCTGTTGATGCTTCCGTCTGTATCTTCATGTCTTTTTACACCTGACGCTTATTGGTATGGGCAATGATTTCGCAAATACCCGTGTAATCAGAAAGCACTGTGGAGTTTTGCAATGATTATAAATACCTACGTACACAGCATGTTTAAAGTGCAATGCCCGAGTAAAGAGCAGAGTTTATAGTTTTTATGTACTAAGCTTAACATAGTTTTGCATACTGTTTAACCAAAAATATGGGACATTGAATGGGTTTCGAAATCATTACTTAATAGTAATGATCAACCTGACCAGACTCGATAAATATTACCCCACTCCGAGGTAACTAAGAAGAGATTAGAGTTTGTTTTATTGGTTAGTTGGTTGTTTTTTAATAGATGTACATAGGTTCTCCTATCGTCCGGTTCACACTCCTCCCCGATCTTTTGAACAAGAGTAGAGGTTTAACTCTTGTTCCCTGTTTAGGATTGGATTTCAGGTCCCTTCTAAAGTATTCTCATTCTGTTTCACTCTCAGTACCCCCTTACGTCTTAGTAGCAGGATGAATTGATTAATATATATATATATTCATACACGTTTCATTAAATAATATAGACAAGTGTTGTCTATTTATTTTATGTAAATTTTTTTCGTAACATCTGATAAGTTTAATAACATTATCGTTGAACGAAGAAAGAAATTCACAATATTGATCCATATATTTTTTTTTTAATACAATCTAAGCTTTCGGCTTACATAAGCCATTATCAAAGATGTCAATTACAACATATTAAGCAATATACGGACAAGAGAGTGATGATAGTCTGTCATCGTTTACATAGATAAACACCGATAAACACGTGCATATAAGACGCTAGAAGCGAAAATCGCACCGCATCTCATGACGTCACACGAGAGTGAATTGGAGAAGTATGAAGTATGGAAAGCCGTTGGTCAATGGCTTCTGTTACCAATTATAAACATTTAAGAATATTTGTAGAGATGCCATAATTGATTTTGTTTAGGTTGTGTTTCAACTGTTTGATGTATAATGCTTCAAGGATTTTTAGTTTTTGTCTATTGTTTTCCTGTGGAAGTATAATTGTGTTTTCGACAAGTATTTTACGGAATTATGCTTATATATATATATATATATATATATATATATATATATATATATATATATATATATATATATATATATATATATATATATATATATATATAAATATATGGAGCAGTTCAATTTATATTACAATGAATCAATCATACAAAAAAGTAGATTAGTAAATTTAAAATGGCGAAATCCTTTCGCAATCAAAATTTTAATGGTGCATTAACCTACAAATCACTCAATGAATGCTATGATCCTTGTTTTTAAAAATTATAAACTGTATAAGGCCTTTCTTTAATACGCAAGTACTTTCAACTGTACATTCAGTCATCCTCGGGCATGGAAATTATTTTGTTTTTGGTAAAAAAATTCAACCTTAGCGTTGCGACTGCACGCTCCAAAAGTTTGTATCCGTTAACAATAACACATTTAAAAAATATCTTTCGATTCGCATTTAATTTTTTCGTCTCGGATGCTACCTGAATTTTACCAAATTTCTTGTCTTTTATCTTCTGATTGGCAATATGAGATTTAATTGAACCATTATCAGACAAATGACATGCTACATGGCACGATACACCCAATACATGATGGCTACGACTAGATTTCTGGTAATACCGTCGATTGATTTATCCTCAAATGTGTAATGTAGATGAGATCTTTTTAGTTCTGCCAGGGATTTACATTATCTTGCGCAGATGTGGCAGTGTTTGATGCCTCTTGTAATAGGTATTGCAGTAATATTTTGGAGAACATACAAATTACGATTTAGTCCACTAACTGAGGCACATAATTTTCCCACACTTGCTGCAAGTAGAAATGCCATATTGTATTTAATGTTTCTATGTGTAGCTTGTTTGATGATTTTTACCTTCATTACCCATTAGACCAAACTCTGTGCCAACTTTATCAAGGATATTAAAATCGAAACCCTTATGAACATTTCCCTTCCGTTTTGCATGCTGAACACGACTGTGTTCCAATATACACCTAATACATACATCAATACACACACACACATACACACCTATATATATATATATATATATATATATATATATATATATATATACTTTACAATTGGAATTACGATACCTTTAGTAAATGACCATTTTCACCTACCAATTTTAATTTTAAAATTCGCAGGATTTTTCAAACTGTTTCTTTCTCAAATAAACAGTACACCAGATACAGTTTGAAAACTCCTGCGAATTTTAAAATTAAAATTGGTAGGTGAACATGGTCATTTACTAAAGGTATCGTAATTCCAATTGTAAAGTAAATTTGCTCTGTTTATTGTAAATAAACATAGAGCGCTCTTTTGTGAGTCAATTTTAACATATTTCAAATTCTATGTTGTGTTAATAGGACTCGCCTGGATTGTGCCAACGGATTACTATCTATCTACCTATCTATCTATCTATCTACATATATATATATATGTGTCTGTGTGTGTGTGTGTGTGTGTGTGTGTGTGTGTGTGTGTGTGTGTGTGTGTGTGTGTGTGTGTGTGTGTGTGCGCGCGTGTGTGTGTGCGCGCGTGTGTGTGTATCTTAAACCACTCGGGCACGTAGGACCTCCAGATCAAAATAGGGTAGCAGGTTCAAATGCCTCCGGAGGGTGCACATTTTTCGACTAGCATTTCTAGAAGAAATGTTGTTAGAAAAATATGCATCTACCGGCCTGTATTGTATCCGATAAATCAGAACGCAGAAAGTCATATCAGCAACGTGCAACGGCAATGTTTCTCAGTCACATGCAATGACGTGGCTTTTGTTAGATGTGAAGCGCTTCAATAATCTTTATATTTTTGTTTCAGTCCTTTTTTAGTCAGTTCATTCGCAATTTGGAAAAGATTATTAATTAATTCTATAGACATAGACAATACATATTATCTGTAGTTGAAGGTATACAATTGCGTTCAAAATATATTTAGTTGGAGCCATAAAATTTTGTTCAAAATATTTCAATTTCAGCGATGTTGATATGCCGCTAAGCAAAATCAACGAAACTATATAAGTAATTTGAAAATATGTCGATAATCTGAATGATTGCAAACATGTAAACAGCTAGAAATACCTGTGTTGTTTAATCAGTTTGTGCAGACATTTAGAAGCGTGACTTGATTTATGCGATTTTAACAAATTAGCAGAACATGGTACATAATTAGCTAAGAAGGGTGAGCCACTGGAAATTTTGCAAATGACTTTTATTTGATTATACAGTACAAGGATACAGGAACAAACCAGAAGCTGTCCTGGGGGGGTAAGGTAAAATTAATTAAAACCTAGAAATTTGAACACATCTCCCAATCCAGATTTAGATCTCGTAATCGTTTGAAAATCAAAGAAAATAAAATTAAAGGGAAGTTTGTCACATAGCGAATTTCGACGTTTCAACGGATTAGTGAATAAAGCTGTTATCGCTTTAGATAATGGAAAATATGTGAACATTGCCAAAGAAAAGACAGAACTATAAGATATGGAGATACTGAATGTGTCTGAGTATTGATTATGCTTTAAATGAACTCAAGAAAGATACAAACTTTGCAAGAATCTAAAATCCAAGAATACAACCAAAGAATGAAAAAAAAATGGCGATAATAAGGAAATTTGTAGTCCAATGATCTTCACCTATGTCTTTAATCCTCTCGACTCCCTGTGCATTCTACGGTAACAGCCACACCACGCTAGCGTTACTGTACTTTCTATAGGGAGTAGGTTTTATAGGGTGAAGTTACTACCCCACAAAATATGTTAGGGATTCAGAGTTGCCCAACTCCTAGGCTAGTTACAAAGCTACAGAGTCCAATCTGTCTTGTTTATGAAGCGAGATTGGTTTGTTTTGTTTTTTACGGATTATCAACCTATTGTGAGTTATTTAAACCCGAAGCATATTTTGCATTGTAAAATATTTTTTGAGTGAATATTGCATTAACAAGTTTTAGAGCATAACATTGATTTTTCTAGACAAATGTCCGGTTATTGAACCCATAGCTGGGGGAAAGAGAGGAATTCATACATTTCCTAATGGTATTTGTGCGAAAGCGAACGCATCAACTTAGTTTTGAATTTGAATTTAAGACGCCAAACTCACTTTAAATGCCGAAAACCGCAAACCTAAGTTTATATTCGCCTCAACAATATATCTGGTATGAAAATCTAATCTGGTGAGTAATTAAAATAATACAATAATAAATGAAAATAATTACAATATAAAAATAGTATGAACAGGATAATGTCAATATAAATTTAATTTGTTTATATAAAGTTTCGAGTAGCAACGGTGGCATCTAAGATTAGATTTTATTTATGACTATATTACGTGTGTGTGTGTGTGTTTAATTCGGGGAGATATTTTCCAAAGTCAAATGATCTTCACCTATGTCTTTAATCCTCTCGACTCCCTGTGCAGTCTACGGTAACAGCCACACCACGCTAGCGTTACTGTACTTTCTATAGGGAATAATAATAACAAAAGTTCATCTTAAAATATGGTAAATGCATATCTGATGCTAAATGCATATCATGTCTGAAAAATATTGTAATACGCTTAACATTCACAGCCGCATCACGTTGAAACACCGGATCTCGTACGGCCACCGAAGTTAAGCAAGGCCGAGCCTGGTCAGTACATAGATGGGTGATCGCTTAGACATACCGCGTCGTTTGCGGATGGTGTAAAGAATAATGGCTGGGAACTGTAAATCGGAGAGCCGAGTTTTAATTCCAGTCGGGTTTCGTTATATTCATTTCCACGCAAATACCATTGGGAAAGGTATGAAACCACCTCTTCTCCCCCCAGCTATAGGTTAATTAGTTTAACATGTACCATTATTATTTCTCTAAAATCTAATTATTTTTCTTTCTGCCTTTAAATAACCCGCAGAAGATTGCTAAACCTAAAAAAGCAAGTTAATCAATCCACAAGCTCACACCTATCACATATCAATATAAACACGTATACATATTATACACACACACATATGTGTGTGTGTGTACATATGTGTTAGTGTTTGTTCACAGGTGTGTGTTTGTGTGCGTATGTACATATGTGTTAGTGTTTGTTCACAGGTGTGTGTTTGTGTGCGTATGTACATATGTGTTAGTGTTTGTTCACAGGTGTGTGTTTGTGTGCGTATGTACATGTGTGTTAGTGTTTGTTCACAGGTGTGTGTTTGTGTGCGTATGTACATGTGTGTTAGTGTTTGTTCACAGGTGTGTGCTTATTTTTTGTGTGTATATATTGTTATATTGTTTGCATAATTAACCATATTCTGTTTTTGTTGTGGGTGTTATATTTGTCTTATATATGCTCAGAATTAGAAGAGATATATAATTTTTCTGAATATGGTGCCATTTATGTACGGCATTTATATGTGTGTCAATTACAAAACATTTAGACAGTTTCTACACAGTCTGTGTCCAGAAAAGAAAACGCTTGTTTGAACACAAGAAAAATTTAATAAAAAGCATAATCGCAGTACCTTTTCTGTCGTCTTAATGAAACATGTATGAAAGAGGGATTGCTGCCTAAACCTCACAATATATATATATATATATATATATATATATATATATATATATATATATATATATATGGGGTTACATGGATAGTAGTTTTTTAACCCTAGGTTTCAGGCTTTCGCCATCTTCAGACAAACTGGTTTATTTTTTTCAAAAGTGAATCTATTTATGCTTTATTTGTGTTTGATTATTTGTGCGTGGTGGAGGGGGAAAATTTTTTTCCCCAGTTTGTCTGAAGATTGTGAAAGGGTGAAACCTGGGGTTACAAACTACCATCCATGCAATCGCATATATTAGCTCTATCACAGATATTGAGCACTTTCCAGTAAATACCACACACACACACACACACACACAGATATATATATATATATATATATATATATATATATATATATATACGAAGGTCATTCAAAATGTAATTTTACCCAAATATTAATCTTATTGAAAACATTTATTTAAAAAGTATAAAAAATTATTTTACTTAAAAGTTTTTACATTCCTTCTTCTCTCATGCTCATGTTGTTAGTTCACATAAAATAATCATCTTCACTCTTTCAACCCTTCCGTTCTGGGTATGACGATAAACTACATCCGCGTCCTGGGTAAGACAATAAACTACGTCCAACAGCAAGGAGGTTTTGAGGATCGTGGAACCACCTCTTAATTGCTGGGATTCCCAGGTCCACCTTGACCCGGGCTGGTAACACCTGTTAGGGTCCTAGCTATGAGCAAATAGTTAACCACCAAACTGGAGTCAAAACACAATGAAAATGTAAAAATAGGTTTAATACCAGAAATACTTTGTAAAAAAATATTACCAGCTATATATTATTTTTGTAGGAAAAAAATATTACCAGCAATAAAAATTGTCGGCATTAAATAACCCATTGTGTTTGATATGCCGTATAACAAACCAAACCAAACTGTAGTTTTGCAACCAGTCTAGTTGGACAACTCTTAATCCCAAACAGGTTATTTTGGGAGTTAGCAAATTTCCAGGATAGTTCTACCCTGAAGGAACGTTCTGCTTTTGCAACATTAACTGGAAATGTATAGAAAATCCTTAACATAATGCAAACATTTAAAACAGGGTGTGCAGTTTCAGTTGATGGAGTTTGTTAAAGAAATTAAATGGGAACATGTAATGATTTCCAAGGAGACGTAAGGCATGAGTACATTGAGCACATTTTCCGGGGCCCAAGATTGTCATATCGCTCATGCGAAATCCATTTGTAAAATTCTATAGCTCTCGCTAAAAAGGAAAAAAATGAAATTCAAATCCTTTTCTTATGTTTTATTATTCAGATACCCCGACACCTGCAAATACACTTAGTCTCAATTGAACTTGTTTATTTGATTTTAACGTCTTGGGCTTATAATCCTTTGATCTGGTAAGCGCACGCGCCCCACCCTGTGACTCGACGAATCGCATCCTACTGCTCATGGTTTATACAGCAACATTTGATATAATTCTTGAGCTTTCTGATATAAGTGATATTTAAGAAGATCAATGAAGGATGAATTAATTTCTTCTGGCAATGGTAATCGTTTCAAAGACAATAGTAATCTCCCAACTTATTAAACTTGTTTCAATTAAATTACTACATAAGTGGCAACATTCCAAGTTATTATTTATACTCTTTCAGAACTTTTCACTGAAGATATCTCTTGGATTTTTTTTTTCTCAATGAGTTACTTTACTTCTTGCTCCTTTTAACTGTTATTTTACTGTTTATACATTTATTTTTATTTATTTATTTTTATTTATTATTTATTTATTTATTATTTTATTTATTTTATACATTTATTTATTTATACATTTTTGTCCGGTTTCTGTAACAATAGCGTTTTCAAGATTTAACATTAGAACCTTCATCCTCGTGTTCAATATTATTTACTTATATATATTTATTAATTCCGAATTTAATTATCCTAATCTATCAAATTACGATGTTTTTTTAAATGTAGCTTAGATGTGGCACAATGCCGAAAATATGGGGTAACCAGTGTGGATCAAACTCACTATTCAGTCGTAATAGATCCAGTGAGACTAGCTTGTTAAGCATTATACTGCGTCGAAGTGCCCACAATTATCAATTGAGAATGGTAGGAATCCACCTCTTCTCCCCCAGCTATGGGTGAATTAGTTGAGCTTTTATAAATGAAAAACTTTATTATCCCCCCAAAATTCTTTACAATCTAAAAATATTTTCTGGTTTTAAATAAACTGCAAAGGGTTGATAAGTTGTTATCCATTAGAGCACCTGCACATCCAAGCTTAAAATACCTGGCATTCCCAAGTGATTACCCATCTAGGTACTGACCAGACTCGACGCTGCTTAACTTGTGTTTCCCAATGTTAAAATTACACGCAGAGCGCTCATATATACGATGGTAACCAATTGTAAAGAGAACGTTTATAATTCAGTATTGAAATTTTACGAACATCAGCTTCGTGGCACAATGGAACAGCAACATCTGAAGAGGTCTGCACTCGTGTGAATGAGAAAAAAATGGTATCCTAAACACAACTGATTTCAAACCAATTATAAATGAATTCTCTGCAACGAAATGTAACAAACGTTTGTATTGATTAATAATTGATATTTTAAACTATATCATCTCTGCCTGTACGGTGTACTAATTAATTATCCTTAATATGCTGAAATATTTGTGTTTTTCAAGGTTTATGATATACTGTTCAAACATTTGTGTTCATTAATCATCGCTTTATAGTACGTCTTTTTTTATATTTAAACATTGATTTTCTTGAAATTGCAAATAAATATGCCTTCATCATCATTATCATCATCATCATCATGTCGCAAGACCCGGTATACTGCGCGGCTGGACACCTGACCAGTTCCCTCCACCTGTCTAGGTTGAAAGCGGAAGAGGTATGCATTCCTGCTTCGCGTGTCTTGGAAAAGTAGACCTGGCGGATCCCATCCCTCTCCATAGTAAGTCTCAGTCGATTTCCCCCCCCCCTTGAATATTGGCCTTGGTTACGCCCTGCTCTTCCCATTAATTTCAGTTTAGGACCGTCCTGATAAGCGATGCCATGTCATTACCGCAATGGTTGTATTTTTAAATAAGATGTTTAGTCTATTCCGTTGTGTTAGACGACCATTGATCCTACATGATGATGCATTCACCCTTTGACAGGATTTGTTAGCAATCCTGTTGGGTGTCTAGCCACCTTCCTCGACAAAAAGCCTAATGAAAGGCTGGTAGCAATTCTTCTTGTAGGCGCTTTTGTCAAGTAAAATTTAAACATTACAGTGCCTACTTGCATTTGTTTACTTATTCGTTTTTGCTTATCAGATCTATTTATTTTTAAATAAATTACAATCGCATTTCATTCATGAACACAGCGTAGATTGTTCTAGGCGTACTTTTCTCCCATACAAAAGCAAAATACTGACCTGTGAACCTGAATCATGTTCTTAAATAGCGTCGTCAGATTTAAACTCTCACCTGGAAGTCATATGGCGTCCAACTCGATCGGAATTTTCTAAATGTTTATCTATCCACAATCGTTTTCTCCGATCAATCATTAAAAATGGCTTCAAGCAAATGAATCTTTTAAATCTTAAAGAAGACATTTCTTCGTCAAACCCTATAGGTTCGTGTTATAGAACCGCCAACAAAGAACTTTATCAAATAACAAAAACACCTTGAATACTTCCAACAACAATGTCAGCGAAAATATCTAACACATGTGACTAGAAGAGTAAATAATGATGCAATCAAGATGTTGACTTTTCATACAACCTTAAACAAAAAGCTAGGTATGAAACTCCCATCAATATTATGGTAATAGTAATGAAATATTAGCCGTTTCCCAACAAGGAAACATTTGACCTTCATTGACCGAGCAGCCTAAAATCTTTCTCTTAAAACAATTTTTCAGGAAACGGGTTTCACAAGTCCAGTAACTGTTATAGCTCTTTCCAGTATTGATCGGAATTTCCTTCCTAACCTTTTGTTTGAAGTGGTGTGGAATATTAACATCTTGATTACTCCATTATTTTCTCTTCGAGTTACCATTTTAATTGTTGTTGCTGTTGGTAGACTTCAAGTGATGTGTTTTCTGTTATTTGGTACAGATCTTTCTTTGGGATTCTGTAGCGCCCGTCTACAATGTTAAAAAGGATGAACGTTGTCATAACCTTCAGACTTTACTTGATCAAAGCTTTTTTCATCATTGATCTTAAGAAGCAGTTGTATGCAGTTGAGTTTAGATATTTCTAGACGGGTTTGGCGTTATGCCTGACATCCATATGAAGGCCTCGATCTGATGAGATTATTTAAGAACCTGACTCGCGTTTTCGGATTGATGTCTGGGCTTCGTAGCAATTTGTAACGTTGGACGAAACTACCTTTCTTACAGCGATAACAGTAGACCTGAGAAATCTATTTTCCTGAAAACCTGTTTTAAGAGAAAAATTCTATAAATTTCAACTGACAGCAGCGTTAACTATTCAGTCAATGAATGACCAATGTTTCCTGCATGGAAACGGTTATTCTCACTATTACCATTACTTTATCATATATCAATGCTAAAGTTTTTTTTAAACGTCAAGATTTCAAATTACCGTATTTTGACCGTAGCTGTAACATCGAGCATGCGTAACAATTTTATCAGTTGAACAAATATATCTATTAATTATTAAATATCTTTGAAACATTATTTCCTAGACTTTATTTAATTCAGGCGTCATTATTTTTTTATAAAGAGTGCTTCATATTTGTAATCTTATACTATATAAGTGTATTATTTACTAAAATATATCTTAATGTGATTAGGGACTTCATAATCAATTTTAATATATGTTGATTTATATGCGAACGTCTGGCATTCTGACCCGACAAATGACAAGTTAGTCTGTGTGAAAGAGTTGTGTTAATATGGTCAACATGCGAATGAAATGCCTTTTACTCTTATGTGAGGCAAACATGCATACATATTGAAGAATTGTCTCCTTTTACACCTAAAGGATTAATTTGCTTGAAGCCATTTTTACTGTTTGATATGAGAAAACGGTTGTAGATAGACAATTGTATAGAAATTTATTAAAGAGCTGGATGCCATATGTGCGCGCTCAATGTAAATAATTAAGTTATAATTATTTCCTGGTATGTATTAGGTATGTATGTAAGCGCCTGTATATGGGGCGGTCGTGTGTGTTCGGGTATCATATACGTACTCTTCTATTTAATTTCTAGTTAATTTCTTTGAAATGGGTGCATGCTGGATCTCACTTTTACTTAAACTATCTTTGTTCGGTATCAACTTTAAACTGATTTATGAAATGCATCCCCCCCGTAATTTTTACTAAAATGAAAAAATGGGCAAAGTTAAAAACAAAAGGCTAGTTCTAAGATACGCTTTACATTATTTTTAACGTAACACTAGAATATTAAAGAAAGAAAGAAAGAAAGAAAGAAAGAAAGAAAGAAAGAAAGAAAGAAAGGGATATAAGCCATAATGAAACTATGTACTAAAGTCAAAGTAACTATTAAGAAAATCTGCTATCATTTGTTTTTTAGTGTTTTCGTATGTGGCCCGCTATATCCCACGGGACACCATTGTGGTAACGGCGGCAAAACCGCCTTTTTTTATCTCAGTACACGTTAACGGTGCCTCACCAGATAGAACAGAAAGAATGACGTGCGGGATTTTTTTTTCCTCTGAGGCAGGACAATGCCGCCATTAATGAATACTCTTAAAGAGCTTATACATCATTAATGGAATAGATAATAAAATAATAAAATTTCATCTCCAATGAGAAATTTGAAAGGCGCAACATTTCTTCGTAATAATTTTTAATTTCTAAAATTTAGCAAAATCGAAAAAGAAAAGAAACTTGCAGCAAAATTCAAAAGACAGAAGAGAAAGAAAGATGAAGAAAATTTGCCCGGTCCCAGGAGAATCCGCCCGAAATGATTGTCGGGAAGGAAGAGAATATCAAAATAAATAAATAAAAATATTTTTAAACCAAATACTGAAAAAAAAAACTAAGTTAACAATTTTTTTTTCATTGAATCTTCGATCATTACAGATGTGTGACAGTATTTTTGTCTTACTCTCATCCGTCTTTCTCTATCTCACTCACTCTCTTTCTCTTTTTCCATCTCTTTCTCTATCTCTCTGTTTTCTCTCTCTCTCTCTCTCTCTCTTTATATATATATATATATATATATATATATATATATATATATATATCCGCTCTCTCTCCCACTTCTTTGATTTCTTTCTTTTCGCTAGTTTATCTTATTCTTATTTTTAATTGTTTATATCTTTCGTAAAGTTAGAATTCATCTAGATCTTCAATTTTTTATCAGTAAAAATCCGGCGTCTATTTTATTTACTTTAAATTCTTCTTGCTGTTGTTAATATCATTCCATTATTTTTACATGTTTATTTGTCTTTCAAATTTCACTTTATTTTAAATTTTATTCTAAATTTTCGAAATCTATTAGAACTTAAATATAATAACATTTAAATGTCCCATTTTAAATCATTTATTGAAAATTACAATTTTGCTTCTTTTGTATTATTGTACTTATTATTCTTGTACTTATCACGTACAATGCCAACTCGTTAATATTGCGATTACCAGTAAAAGTCTAGAACAAGGCTCAATGCGTGAAATTATGAATTTAAATGTTGTGCATTTCGTTTATATTTGCTAACAAATTATCGAATTTGTGAATTTTTTTCTGAAGTTATCGTTATCATTGATGGCAGGTTCAGAATACTCCTTTCTCTCTCAAAATTTTTTAAATGCAGTTAATTATTTCGCCTCTTTGTACATTATTTACATTTTTCGGACTATTGTCCTCATCTTTTTCGTCATATTTATCACAACGTTCCGGCCTTCTTCAGGTGGTTGGAATTTCGAAATGAACCCTTTATTTCACTCACTGGGTAGACTGTTCTAGTTCCACGTCAGTTATCAGTTATCTCCTGCTAATTTCCCTCTGAAAGTTCTCCACTGCCTTAACCGGGTATTGAACTCTTTGGGTCCTGTCACTAACCAACGCCTTTATCCACTGTGCCATGTGTCCTTAAGAACATCTGGGTATGAATTTCTGGGTATTATAAACCTAATGTCTTCAGCAACCATTTTTACCAGTGCTCATATTGCAATTTTGCTGTTATCATTGCATGTTTTTACCAGAGCTCATATTGCAACTTTGTTGTTATCATTGCTTTTCTCTGGCACTCCTTATTACTGGGTCCAGTATTGTATTTATTTCTATGCTTGGTCGGCTCAGGAGATTTTTGTGGCCTAGCATATATGCTGATTCCTTAAGTTTACGAATTTTCCAATGGTGTTCCTTGTCTATGATCTCAACATGATCCCACAGAGGACGGTGATCTCCCTTCTCTCTCCATATGTGGTCAGCCACGCCTGATTTTTCTACTTCCCCTCGCGTTACAGCTTTCTGGTGTTCTTGAAGCCTTACCTTGAGGGGGGCGGCCTGTCTCTCCTTTATATTCCTTTCCGCAGCTGCACGGGATAGCGTACACACAGTCTTTAGTCATGTTCTCCTCTATGGGGGGGTCTTACTCGGGAGAGATATCTGCGAAGTGTCGTCAAGTGTCGCCTCTTTGTGTTTGGATGGGTAGATCTTCCGGTGATATGAAATTTAATTTATGATCATAACCTAATTGACCAAGTCTACTATAAGCTGATCAACCGTCAGTTTCTATGGTTGACCCTAAACGCTTTCGTCTATAAATAGTTTCTTTGAGAGTCTCTTGAAAGAAACAAACTTAAGGAAGTGATTGAATACTTCAGACTTTCAATTTTTTTAAAAATCTCTTATTGACCAATCACCAGTCTTCTATTAAACTATCGATTTAATGGAAATACTGAGAGGTGATAGAACTGTTAAACGTTTGCAGAAAAAAACTGTTTTTAATGCGTTGAAAGTTTCAAGGTGAGTTTCAAGAGGAGCAAACAACCTCACCAATTTCAGTTCCAAATGACACAGTTCAGTTTTTAACACGAGAGTCATTGAAGCCGTCAAGAAAAGTAGGGAAATAACTCCTCGATGACGCATCTGGAAGATCGCAAAAGATCTGGATAATTTGGATTAGTCGCAAAGAACGAACGATTTAGGGCTAAAACCTTACAAGATTCAACGACGACAGCTGGTCTCAAAGTGCCTCCAAAAAGCAAAAACGGCTTGACAAAGGGAAGAAAACATTGGAGGAAATGCAACATGCCGTTGACAAGGTTCGTGCGTGTGTTTGTAGATTAATTGGTTGGTTTGGTTTTATCAACTTTTTTAGATTAATTAAACATATTTTTGGATTGTAAGAATATTTTTTTGTGAGTAAATATTGCATTAACAATATTTTAGAGATAATAATGATTTTTAGAAACAATGCCAACTATTTAACCCGTACTTGGGAGGAGAAAAATTTAGATTGTAAGAATTCTTTTTGAGATAATAACGATTTAGTGATTCAAATCTTACCAATTAATCCATAGCCGGGTGGAAAAAAAATATTTCCTATAAGTGAATATAACGAACCGGACTGAAATTTGAACTCGGGTATCCTATTTCAAATTTCCAGCTGTTACTTCACCCTCACAACCAAGTTTACAGCACCCGGTATTCTCACGCGGTCACCTATGTAAGTACTGGCCAAACTCAACGTTGCTTAACCACGGTGATCGCACGAGAACCGGTGTTTCCATGTGATATGACTGTAAGTCACATGTGAAGATAGATAGATAGATATCCGATGCAATGAGAACAAAAATAATATATAAATTCTTACGCTCACAGGATTTATTCAAAAGAGTGCTCGATACTGATAGTAGAACAATAATTATTTATTTTGTTATAATTTTTTCATATATACATAAAGCAAAATGGTGACAGAGTGAAACAATAGTGTTTGTTGATAGTAGTTTGGTGAAGGATGGGTGAGGTACTCCGTCACCTTTTTGCTTTATGTATATTTTTTTCTCAAACAAATGGAAAAAAGGAAGTGACGTTTCACATACGACTTGCTTACAAGCAGAATTGTTCATAAGCATTTTTGGTTCTCACCAGTTGATGTGCAATTGAAATGCACCGAAAAGAAGTTGCATCTTTGTAGTGAGTAAATTGTTTTTGTCGATATGAAAAAATTATAATAAATAATATTAATTATTAATAACTGCTGATTGCGATGAGGGATATTATGTATATTTATTAATATATACTTAATAGCCCTGTTATATTACGTTGAGCACTGTTTTATTAAAACTAGCACTATATGTGCGATATATTATAATTATATATATATATATATATGACAGTTTACTAAGCGTAGCTTAGATGTGGCATACGCATACACACATGTACACACACACACACATATATATATATATATATATATATATATATATATATATATATATATATATATATTAGGAAAATAAATGACAATGTAGAAAAAGATTTTCGTGTGACATGTTTTGTACTTTAGGACTTCATCTGACTAGGACTAAAATAATGTTTTTGTTGATGCAATTCTACAGGTTGTGATAGGTAAATTGCATCCATTTTATATTTTTAATTCCACGCATGCGCGTTGTTTGTTTTTGTCGGCTTTACATTATAATAAGTTCAGTTGGGCACCCTCTGTAAGAAAATGAGCATCATGAAGCAAATTACTCTGCCAGAAATTTGGAAACGGCATGCTGAACTGCTTGGCATTCGCACTGGCAGCTCCAATACGAACATTTCTGAGTATTTGAGTGTCAATCTGAGGACAGTGCAGAGGAGGATTCAGAAAGAGTTTGATAAGTCTAATGCTGATAAGGCAGGTGATTAGTGATGGCGACGTTATGCTTCTATTCATCTTCCCACAGGGCCTCAGAATCAACATAGAGGTCTAAATCAAGTGTCCTGATGCGGTAGTGCTGCTCTGGGTCAAGAGGGTGGCTGCTGAACGATCCTATGTCTGGTAAAAGGATTATGAACCAGGCCACGTAACCAGGAAAACCCAATCGTGACTGTGAGACAACTTCTGCGACCACATCACCCCTTACATCTGGCTCCCTAACGCCCTTGACTGCAATTCCCTTAATTATTAGGGGGGGGGGCACTTGAGCGAGAGACCAACAAAACTTTTTGTAATACCAAAGATGAACTGAAGACAAGGCTTATGGCAGCATTCAAATACTTAAACAAGGAGACCGCCCAGACGTGATACAGGAGATTCCGAAGTCTTCTGACGACTGGGGTTGAAGCCAATAGCGATTTTATTGAATAAATTCACGCTTTAGCATTTCAAGATATTTTTGGTGTAATTTTGGGAAATATATCTGTTAAAATGAGATGTCAGTGTTATTTTCATTTTTTGCGTAATTTAGACGACAATTTATCCATCGCACCCTCTATATGCGCGGGAAGAGGAGGAGGATTGTATAAACGCAAACGTGGGTTATAATCATACATTGATAGGAAGCGCTGAAAATGTTGGAAGGCTGAAATCTTTTACATTTTTAATTCTTAAGTTAATTTCTTTTTACAAATGTTTGTGGTCACTTTAATTCAGTTTCTTTTTGCTTTTTGTTTTGTCCAGCATTGTAATAATAGATGATCTTCCAAGAAAAGTGAGATATTGTATGAAACTGGATGTAAATTTAATGTGGATGGTCTAGTGATTAAAGCACTTTCTATACATGTTCGTCTTAATAAATTGCTTTCTTTTTTAATTAAAGCGGCATTTTTTTTTAAATCCAAATTATAGTCAGACTCCTTACGGTGAAAAACTAATATGTTGAGTGTGTTGCTTTGTAAAAGATCCCTTTTGTTTGCATATAATCTCTTATTTAAATTCATCGAGGTTTCTTCTATGTGTCCTTGTGGCAATTATTACAGGTGATAGAGTGAATTATTCTTTCACGTTTTAGACTATTATTATTATTATTATTATTATTATTATTATTATTTTCTTTGATTTCTGGCGTTTACACATTTCTTTCCGGGTCCCGCCCAGGGACCTAAGGTTAGAAATGGCATCATGACACTTTCCACTGAAAAAAAAATTACATAGATAAAGACCTTCGTAAAGTGTGGGCTGTACTTGTCAGAACAATTTTTTGTATCTCCTTGAGGCATGGACTTCCAGGAATCCCTTCAATTAGTCTACTGCAATCTTTTCCAACCAGTCCTAGGGCTCCAACTACAACAGGGATTCTTGATGTTCCCATATGCCACATTTTCGAGATTTCTATTTCAAGGTCCTTGTATTTTGACAGCTTTTTGAATATCTTCAAAGATACATTGCAGTCAGCAGGGACTGCCATATCAACAAGGAGGCACCGTTTTTGTTTGTGGTCTTTAATAACAATTGTTATTATTATTATCATTATTATTATTGTTATTATTATTATTATTTTCTTGTGTATTATTTAAGTCATTTATTTAGAAATAACTGTAACGTATTTTATGTTAAGCTTAGGAAAATTCATTTCAATTGTAGTTGTAATAAAGTTGGTGAGCAGAATAATATATTTTCATTCGTTGGGTTTGCCAGAATGACCTACTCCTCCATTTGTAAATATTTTACGCTGCCTTCAGTTTCGCCTTGAATATGAAATAATTATGGCAGTGGAGGAACTTAAAAGTATTTTCTATGTATTTCTTCCCTTCATATAAATATTGAAGACTAAAAATATATTTTCCTAACATTGTTCTATATAAAGATTTATATTTCATATATATCATTTTATATAAAAAAAAACTTATATACCATGTACTCCCATACAGATAGATAATATGTGTGTGTTTATTTATTTTTGTAAAAGTTTTTCCTATGATCTTTTTTTTGCTTTTTATTTTTTTTTATTTTTTGCATTTGGCATTTGTTTTGTTTTTTTTATTTTTATTTCTATCCTTATACTGACCTCGTCATTTTTACGTATGTCTTTTTTGTTTTCCACTTTTCACAAAAAACCTGTTATATATATATATATATATATATATATATATATATATATATATATATATATATATATATATATATATATATATGGTGTATAAAAATACTTTTAAAATCTTTGGGGTGGGTTCCTCACACCAAAACAAGGCCAAAAGTCTATCTTATTCTTAACATATGCCCGAAAATTATTCGTTTTTGAGTTAAGTTTAATGTTTGCGGTTAACACTGTTAAATGTACAATCCAAGACAATATCCAAAAATACTGTACACGCTGCAAATGATACGGATAAAGGAACTGCTCTTGAAGTAACCTCCATGCGATACTATGAGATGTACGACATGAAAGACCCGCTTGAAGTGTGATGATACCTGTCTCCTACAGCCTCTAGAATGCGTTCTTCTTAGTCAGGCGTACGAGCGGATCTCGGTTTTTCTCGATCCATATTTTGTGGTGCCACGGATCCTGTCTCAGCACACGTGACGATAAACAACAACTAATCTTGGACGACTCGGTTACCTTGGGTTTGCAATATGAAATATGAATATGAATATGCAATATGAATATCCTGTTAAACGGAAAACTTTTCAGTTAACTCACTACTGCACACGTTAAACGTTGAAGATAGACTAGCCACAGATGTACACGAATGACGATTGTTTTTCTTTCTAATGTATATAGTAACATCACGCCATCTACCGTAAACTTTAACTCAAAAACGAAGGATTTGCGGACATATATTTATATGAATTTTGTCCATGTTTTGGTGTGAGGAACCCGCCCCCAATGTTTGTAAAATTAATTTTGATACACGCTACATATATATATTAAAGACATTTTTATGTTTAACGTTGTTATTTTATAGATACAAGTATTTAAGCAAATGCTCTGTTTATGATAAACAGTATTAAATAACATTTACCGGCCTGAATGTCCGAGAAATTTTCATAGAAAATATTCGTTCTTTGACAGGATTCGAACCTGCATCCTATACGGAACCGTCATATACGCTGACGTGCCTTACCTCTAGGCTACAAAGAACCGTTCGGTAGACGAGGTCGAATTTACTGCTTATAAACTCCAATCTTCCATGAATCTCGTACATTCATAACTGCTCTGGCGTATCGAATGTAAACAAATGACGTCATATATTAAGAAATGGACAAGGTCCGACAATTTATTTATTAAAGACATTTTTATGTTTAACGTTGTTATTTTATAGATAAAAGTATTTAAGCAAATGCTCTGTTTATGATAAACAGTATTAAATAACATTTACCGGCCTGAATGTCCGAGAAATTTTCATAGAAAATATTCGTTCTTTGACAGTATATATATAGTATATAGTATATAGTCAGCATATTCTCATTCAAGTATTTTTGGTTGAATAATTTAGACGTATTATGTCTCTTCATTTTAATTATAATCCTTTCAAGTCCATGTATTAATTTCTTGGTGGCTGTAGAAAATTAATTAACAAAAATTCCAAAATTTTCTTTCAAATAATTCCTATTTCCCCAATTACTTTGAATCTCATGTGAGACCATCTTCAGGGGTTGCATATTTATGGACGTGTAAAACATCGTAAATTCAAAATATTTTTTATCTATATGCAAGGAAGGTAACTTTAATTTAATTTTTTTTAAAATATTTATTGCAGTATTTTAATTTAGCATTTTCTATATAAATAAAACTATATATATCTATATATCTCTCTCTCTCTCTCTCTCTCTATATATATATATATATATATATATATATATATATATATATATATATATATATATTAAAAAAGAGATAAGTTGCAAACAATTTTGTTTATCATGTGGACTTTTAAAATATACACTATACTTTATTTTCCATGTTGGAATCTGGAAAATAAAGTATAATATATATTTTAAAAAATACACATTATAACCAAAAACGTATGCAGCTTCTCACTTATCTTTAAAATATACACTTTTCCCTCGGTGGAACAACTATAACTTCTCCCTTATATATATCTATCTATCTATATATATATATATATATATATATATATATATATATATATATATATATATATATATATATATATATATATGTATGTATGTATGTGTGTGTATATATATATATATATATATATCACTAACTTTTTGCCTTTTTTTGAGATCGTCATTTACTCTTCGTATTTATATATTTTTCTTCATTTCTTTATAATCGTCTATGCTTTTTCATAACCTTCATTCATTTCTTTCTTTCCTCTTTCTTTATAATATTCAAATTATAGTTTTCATTCATTATCCTTCCTTTGCCGTCTGTTTGGTTTTTGTTTGGAGCCTTCAACCTTCTTCGTTCGTTTTTGTTTTCTTTCTTACGCATGTTCACTTTCCGTCATACATCTTTCTTTCTTTCTTTATTGTCTTTTCCGTTGTGCTTCCTTTTTATTACCTTTTCTTTTTGTTTTTTACTTTCTTTTTTCTTTACAGGTTTTATCCGCTTTCTTTCTTTCTTTCTCTTTATTTATTTTCTTTCTTATTAGAACCTATATTCGATATTTTTTCTCCTTTTTCATAGCCTTCTTTATTTTCATTATCGCTTTATCAACTTTTCAACATTCTATTTTTCTGTATCTTTCTTCTTGGCCTTTACTCTTTAGATCTCTCTTTTACCGCTTCCTTTTATCTTTTTCTTCTTTCTCTTTTATTGTATCCCTACATTTCATGTTTCTCTTCTTCCTACATTTAAAGCAACATTTTTTTCTTTCTTTTTATTCGTTCTTGTCTTTATTCGCTTTCTCTTCAAAACTACTCCCTTTCTTTTACTTATATTTCTTCTTTTTTTTCTTTATTTCACCCTCTTTATTTCTCTTTCTCTCCCACTTTTGTTTCTTTTTTTGTTTGTTTGTTTTTCGTTTTTTGTTTTTTTGTTGTTGTTTTTTTTTTTGGCTTCAAAAACAAACCCTACTTTTTTATATCTACATAGCCTACCGTCTCATCAATTTATCAACTCGCCCAATGTTCCCATTTGGAACTGGTCCCAGACTATTAATACACCGTCTCTTCTTTAATTTCCTCTCCTGATTTGAATACAAACAGTTCAGTGACTACTGTTTTTCGCTCCGATCCTTCCAATCAACACGTTCCGGCTTGTCGCCATTTCAGACCGATTCACATTCAAGCAAGCAAAGACGTTGGACAATAAGCGGACCGATTTGATTAACTCTCTAGCCATATGTCGCCTGAACCGAAAATATGAAGTGGCTATAGTTGAGAAAGCTATCGTGTCTCATTTAAGTAAAGATATAGTTTATTTTTAGTCTGTAGAATTCGTGGATTTTACAATATTTCCTGGGCATTTATAAAAAAAAAAGGATTTTTCTTACTTGCAAGTAAATTTTTATACTTGAAATCAATACAGAAGACAGGATTGTAGACTTGATCTTTAGTGGGGGTATTTCAAAAATGTACTGTAGATACCGGGAATAAACATCGAAATATAAACAAAATCAATTACACTTATTTTTCGTGAATTAAAAGTTAATTATCTACAAGCATGTTCTTCTATCCATTGTTGCTAAATTTGTTAATACTTAAGTATCCCTACACAAACCTCGTGGTAAAAACATTCCCTTTCGGAGAATTAGTTGTGCTACCCTTAGCTAAGATGTTCATGATCTGATATCCATCTCAAATCTGCTATGTCCCACAAGAATTGTTAAAACCCTTGAAAGGAAACTGATCCCTTGTGAGATGAAATGCCTGAGGAAAACAGTGAACAAGTCCAGGCGAGACAAGATCAGGAATGGGGCAATAAGAGATATGATAGGAGCAATATCAACGATACAACACATCGAACGACAGAGGATCAAGTGGTTCGGACACCTCACTTGTGTACCTATCAATCAACCAGCCCTAAGAGCATACACTCTCATGTCATCTGGCTGGAGAGCGAGAGGCAGACCAAGAAGACGCTGGAGCGATTCAGTGGCAGACAATATCAGAACCCACGAGATATCTCTCCTCCAGGCCATTCGTCTTGCCGCTGGCAGACGACTGTGTCTCCCCGGGACGCCTAACAGCACAAGCGGAAGGGAAAACTAAACTAAGTACATAAGAAATGTTACATTTATTGTATTTCATTTGTCCCAAAAATAGTTGTTGCATTTTTTAATAAATAAAATAAATTAAGATAACCTGTATAAAAATGGAATAGTTTACTAATTAAATATTTTGAATCTTTATTTTGGAGAAACATTTAAATATTTTGGCGTTCCGAAAATACTTACGTATTTCAACGCTGAGTCAAACAACAAATGCAAAACCAAGGATGTTTGGTCGGAAACTACGTTTAGAATTAGTTCATCATTATTTCTATCGACAGTATGCCGTTTACAATTCATTTTAGATCGGATAAATAAAGGATTGCGGCGAAACGGTCCTGTTTTGTTAAACAGAAAAGGTGTTATTCTCCAGCAAGACAATGCCAAACAAAACCAAGAAATAAAAAAGACCGTTAGCATGAGATGTTCTTCCACATCCTTCGTACTCAGCAGATTGAACAACTACAGACTTTCATTTGTTTCACTGAGTAGAATATTTCATAACTGGTAAAACATTCTGAAACAAAGAAGTTGAATACAGCGTTTCAAACTTTTTTTTCTCAAGAAAAACAAATTTCTTCAAGCCTGAAATGGAAGGTTTGCCTTTCCTTTAGGTTGAATATAATTACATTTTTTGGTATAAAACAAGAATATGTCTTCTCACCAAACTTATTGAACGTATAGAGTGAGGCGATTCTGAGAGAATTATAAGTCATACCAGAATTCATTACTGACGACCATAATCTTAACAACATAAGGTATGCAGATTACAGAGTGTTGATAGCAAACACAAGAAAGGAAACTACAAGAACTCCTACAAAAGGCAATGAAGGAAAGCGAGAAGAAAGCACTAAACATCAATTGTGAGAACACAGAATGCATGGTTGTTAGCGAAAGCATCAGCCAAACATGCAAATTACAAAATGGAGATCCCAAAATCAAAGCAAGTACAACAATTAGAAATATCTGGAAAGTGTATTAACATAATACGGAAAATGCGACATTGAAATTCGAAGGCGTATTGGGATAGCGAAAGATGCCTTCTAAGAGCGAAGCAAAGTATTAAGAAACAAGGAAATTTAGAAACAAAGAAAAGAAACTGTTACGCAATATCAGTCCTCCTATACGGAAGTGAATGCTAGACAATCTCCACACAGATGAAGACGAAACTTGGAACAACAGAAATGCGGTTCTACAGGAGGATACTGAGAATATCATGGCCGGATCATTTTAGCATTGACGAAGTTTTAGAGAAAACAGAAATAAAAAAGGATACTTATAAATAACATCAGAAAGAGACAGTTGAAATTTCTAGCGAACATAATGAGGACAATGGGATTGGAAATTTGATACTCACAGTACAGATCGAAGGTAAGAGGACCAGATGTAAGGGGTGATGTGGTCGCAGAAATTGTCTGGTGGAATAAATTGCGAAATGGTGCTCATAGACGGAGACCAACTGAACCTACTATACTGTGAAGTCTACAAAAACAAATAAAAATTTAAAATGGCAACAATTTGCCAATCGAATTGTGATATTTCAGCGCGTCTTTCTGCACTAATCATATATGGGTTGTGAATTCAAAATGTCTTTAAGTCAAAAGTGAAAATAAGGGAAAATGAGATGCATTTTCGACATTTGTTGCTTTTTTTTATTAACGGAAAGGAAATAATCCTGTGTAAATAGCAAATAAGATACGAGTCGTTTGTAGAGTTGGTGCCATACCTAAGAGTACTGCACATAAGTGGTCCGGCAGATCTGAAATCAATACCTCGACTAATGACATTCTACCATCGCCGACTGGATCCAAAATTTTCACCAATCTTTATGATCGGAGGTTAATCAAGCAGACCCCGTGCCTTGAGCGTGTATCGGGACAAACTCAACCCAGACACCAAGGTAAATAAGCTGGAAAATAGTCAGTTCCTTGTACCGCTCCAGCATGTAACTGATCCCTATTGCTATCCGCTACCTTTACAAGAGCCAGGTCAGTTCGAAAATGAAGTACTACTGCTATTTATGGGCATGAGCTTCCCAGTGTTCACTTTCTATTCTCGATAGAGTCCTTGTGGGTGACGAATTTTTTTCCACCCTACAACACCTTTCTCACAAACGAAACGTCACAGGGGTCTCACTGCTCTATCGTTATTCACATGGAAAGTGTTCAGATGAACTACCTTCCTTAGTTCCACTGGTCTTAATCTTCACCGCTAAGACTCATCGTAGCGAACCACCCTCGTCCCCATCGTATTCCATTGGCAAGTTCCACTCGAGCAGCATCTTCCCACGAACCACTGCTTTGTGGAACCGACTCACAAGAGGATGCTTCCAGGGTCACTTCAATCTTAACCTGTTCAAGTCTAGAGTTAATCGTTAACCACACATATCCGCATAAACTGTGCCGCTTACCCTGTAAACCTCTACCTGGACTGTCCCTCGAGCCTTGTACAGGGTGAACATCATTGTAAAAAAAGAGAGAAATAGATTATTCGACACCGGACATCGCAGAATATTTCCATATCTCATATGAGCATTTTAAGATATTTGTAAACACTTGCATACGTTAATCACGATTTAACGGGATGAAAACTTTGACAGACCGCATTTCCACCTGTGAATCTCTTCTTAAATGTAACAAAGAAGACTGCTTTTAAAAAAAAACAATCACGGACAATAAAAAGAATTGATATTTACAAGAATATGAAGCGAAAAATGTCTTGGAGAAAACGAAAAACTGGTCTTTTTCAAATGACGATGATGCTGTGTATAAGGTGGGACTGGAAAGACATTGGTGTTTTGTGAGTTCCTTCAGCAACATCAGACGCTGAATTCAGAAACGCGCCGTTCCGGTTACACCGATAAATGTCATCTTTCATCAGGGCAACACTAGATATTAGCTCTCTTTGCAGACCCAGCAGAAATCGGCATAGCTTGGTTGGAATGTCCAACTACGCTCGTCGTATTCCCTTGAACTAGTACTTTCGATTTACCACTTGTTAGAAATTTTTCTCAATAGGAAGAAGTTCAACAATCTGGAAGCCTGTAAAAAAAACCCTTAGACCAGTTTATTACCCAGAAAAGTACCCAGATCTGGGAGGATAGAATCATGAAGTTGCCTCAAAGATGGCGAAAGATACAAAATGGCACATATGTGGTTGAAAAAAATCTATGTATAAATATCTAAATATTGTCTTTGAAATTTACGTAAAATCGCTACGAACTTTTGTAGGGACCCAATACTTGCGAACACCGTCATATTTAAATAAATTTAATTTACATTTGATTTTATAAACTTTCTAATAAAACGTAATTACTTTCCAAACACTCTCATAGTTTAATCATAGTTTAAACATTTTTACATTTAAAATGGCATAATAAAATGGCATAATAAAATGGCATAATAAATGCATGTATATATATATTTATATGTGTATATATTTGGACACTGAGGTCTGAAGATTGCGCTCAAGCATAAAACACTGTTGCCGCTTGGTGTTGACCTCGGGGTCCACTTTTATATTTTTACTGTAGATAAACAAACCCAGTACGTTTAATCCATCGGTCACGATGAGTTGTGACTTCGTGCTAGCACAACCATCAACCTAATTTAACTCTCAAGTTTTGTATTAACCCGTAATATGGTTTTCAGGCACTTTCTAATGGTGCCCCACACTAGAATCATCAGGCTGATATTATTGACATCTCAACCTTGGGGATATTCGAACCTCTTGGTCAGAAGCCCAATGTTATAATCACTCATTCACACGCGCCAACACATTACCAGTTTCCGGTAAATACATTGTTGATTTTACCGTAGAAATGTGTTTCATAAAACTTTATGATAGAAATGCACTGAAAATTATAGAAGAAAACAATTTATTTTTCCTAATGGATCTCATGAACGAAATAATCATAGCATTACATGCAACCCATTATTTGGCTTGTAAAATAAACGTAAATAACATATAGGTCATGCAAGATAACTAGTCAGTCAGTTATGCATCATGCGTGATACATACTTAGGCGATCATGTATCTTTCGATACATGACTGACAAGGCATATTTTTTCCCGCAGTAGGTTGCCATTTCTTTTTGCGGTAAACCAGTTGCCATCCAAGGCTATAGAACCCGGTCTGTTCTGCTATTTACCCATAGCTGGGGAGGGGGGTAAGAAGACGATTCATACCTTTCTTATTAGCACTTAAGTGAATGTAATGGACTCGACTGGAATTCGAACTTGGTTCTCTGATTCCTCAACCCGGGCCGCTATCCGTTACTCCATCGTGCCTCCTAGCTAACACATTCAAAATATTGGTGTTAACTACTGAAAATCATTTACGCAAATTGCTTTCTATTTATGTTAAATGTAAATAAGCTGATTAAAAAAAGTCAGATAAGTTTTCTAAACTTCCAATACAGATAAAGAGAAGTAATCATGTACTCTAGTTTTTCATACAATTTCCTGTCATGAAGTTTACTTCTTTATGCAATGTTTTCAAGTAATTTCGGTGAATGTATGCACAGATTTCTTAAGCTTAAGTGAGATTAGAGTTTAATTAAACGTTTAAATATCCTAAATTGTATGTATATTAAACAATGTTAAAAAATAAAATCGTACTCACCCCGAGTAACATTGATAACCTAGTGCTGCGACTGATATATATATATATATCTGTGAATGTGTGTATGTGTGTGCGTGCGTGTGGACAGGCACAAATAGATAGATAGATAGATAGATAGATAGATAGATAGATAGATAGATAGATAGATAGATCAAGAAACGTGTAACATAATGAAAGATTGAGCATCCGTATGACGGAGTTTTTGATCCACATTCATTATACTCACTGATGTGCCAAAATTCATGGAGTGGCAGTATGCAAAGTAAATGGCGCCACCGTACCTTGATTTTATGGAAAATCAGTGTGAACATCGGTTGGGCTGCAAGTGGTAATACGACATAAATTATTGGAATTCAAATGGGGCATGATAATGAGGGCCAGAGAAAGAGGCATTTGTTTTCTGTAATTGTAGGAACGTTTGACATCCATATATCAACAGTGTCATGTAAGTACCGGCAATAAGTAATGGAAATCATTATTTCCTATTGTAGATAGCGTAGTGGTAAACGACATGATGGTGACTAGAGGCGTCTGGATGAAATTGTCTGCGATAACTGCCAAGCGACATTGGCCCAAATTATATCGGCATTCAATGCAGAAAGTACAAGTTGCATACCCAGTAGGTCAGTCCAACATTCTTTAGTTTTCATTGGATATATGAACAGAAAATCCACCAGAGTGCTCCTGTTAACACCATAACTCCTGTATTCTAATCTCTTGATGTAGCTAATTGAACCCTGGAGGAGCGAGTTATGTTTCTATTTGCTTCGGGTTCATGGTAGGGTTTGGATGTGATGGAGACCCCGTGAGACCATGAACCCCAGTTGTCAACAATGCAACGTGTAAGCTGATGGTGGTTCTCTAATAGTATGGAATGTATTCAGGTTGGGTTGAGTCTGTCGGCCTAAATACTTTCTTGACAGGTGACCACTATATTGCATTGCTCTATGATCACTTACCTCTATTTATGGACACCCTACATCTTAAACAATTACGGGTTATTCCAGCAAGATAATGTAACTTGTTATCAGGCCCAAGACGTCCGGTATTGCTTTGAGGAACATTTTAGATTCTTTTATGAAATGAAGTGGACGACGCTTTCACCAAACATGACCCAATCGAACATGTATGGGACTTGGTGGAGAGGCCTATTCAAACGTAATATCCTGTTCCTACAAGTAACAGGGAGGTTCGGACAGCTATCAAGATGCTATAGCGCAGCATCTTTCAGAGTTCTTCGAACCACATGTGTAATCTATGCCATGTTGGGGCATTTACCCAGGCTAAACTGGGTCCTTGGAAAATCTGATACTCACAGGACAGATTGAAGGTAAGGACAGAGGAAAACAATAAACTACCTAGCGAGTGTGAGTAAATAGATGGCGAAGCAGGGGAGATAAAAATACAAAATTTATTAAGAGCTACAAAAGACAGGAATATGTGGAGAGCCATGATCGGCAGCATTCCTGAAGGGACGCGACACAAAGAAAAAGCATAAGAGTGGGTCCTACCCATCACTAAGCGCCTATACTTTCATTTGGGAATATGTAATATTTACATATATTTTATTTGTAAACAATGTGGATGTAGGAATCATCACTGTATATCTGATGATTGCTTAAGTCGTAAGACTGTCAGTCGCTATGCACTGTTGATTAATATGTCCACATTGTTTATATCTTCATTCGCTCTATCCTCGATATTGTGCAATCTTCCCCTCAGCAATCTAACAAATGTTCAACAATATTATTTTATATATTTATGTGTCCATGTGTGTTTTTGTGATAGATATTCCTCGTGGCCTTGAGCCAAACTTGATGTGTTCTTCAATGCACTTAATTTGCTGGTTTGCCCGTAAGTGGTAACATGTTTCCATGGATTATCCATTTACACCTCAAACAAATCAATACCTATTTGTGAAGCGTCATAATTTCCTACCAGTTGAACAATTATGCATCGACCCAACGATCTAAAATGAGTTACTTTAACAACCTTTTTCGTGTTCGCGCCAAAAAAAGCTATCGCCTACTCTCAATTCTGTACTCAAGCCGAAACCAAGATGTTATACAACCCCTCGTCCTTCGGCAAACATCGGTTCTTTCCGCTGCTGCTCGCGGATAAAAAACACTTTGGAACTTTTGTAATTCTCTGGCAATTTTTTCCCACTGACCGCTCATTGTACTCAGTGAAATCTTTTTCTAATAAAATCTACGATATTCTACTTTTTTCTTTAGTTTTTCATATTTTCCTTTTTCTAATTCCCTCTCTTTGTTATCTTTCGTTTTTTTTTTTTGAGGGGGCGTGTCTTTTTTTTTCATATTTTTTTCTTTCTCCTCCCACCACTTTGTTATCTTTGGTCTTTTTTTCATATTTTTCTTTCTTTTTTATTACTCCTCCTTCTTTGTTATCTTTCGTCTTATTTCATATGTTCTTTTCTTTTTCACAACTCTTCTCTTTGTTATCTTTCATCATTTTTTTCATATTTACTTTTCTTTCTCACTCCCCTCTTTACTATTATTAGTCTTTTTTTTTTTTTTTTCGTATTTTCTTTTCTTTTTTACTCTTCCTTCTTTATCTTTCGTCTTTTTTTCATATTTTCTTTTCTTTCTAACTCCTCCTTCTTTGCTATCTTTCGTCTTTTTTATATTTATCTTTCTTTCTCACTCCCCTCTTTGCTATCTTTTGTCTTTTTTTCATATTATTCTTTCTTTCTCGCACCCGTTCTCTTTGTTATCTTTCGTTTTGGGGTTTTTTTTTCTCATATTTACCTTTTTTCTCACTCCCTTATATTATATTTCACCTTTTCCTCATATTTTCTTTACTTACTTTCTCACTCCTCCGTCTTTGTTTTCTTTCGTTATTTTTAATATTTTTATTGTATATTGTCTCTTTTTTACCATTTGTCTCTCTTGGTTCAACAACTCTCATGACACGTTTTGCTTTTCACATGATTTTGCTCTATGTAAAATGTGATAAAAAAATAAATGTAAAAATCCTAACAAAAGTTGTTTTGTTTTTTTTATTCTAACTGCGAGTAACACATTGGAACTTAAAAGCTAACAAATGCCTGTCATTTCCTGATCAAACCACCATATTTCAAACCGATTCATCAGTAAATCATTTTTCAAGCAATAAAAATCTCGCAAAAAAATAAATAAACACATCTAACTGATCCACTTTTATGGAAACCGATCTTATAAGGACACTAAACGGAATAGAAAGAGTAAAAGAGTTAGCCAGTCCGTTCAAACGATATACCGGTTGTCCGAGCCTAGGCATTCATCTTACCAATATGGCAATAAGAAATCTGACATCAAAGGAAACCGCTTTGAATTATAGTTGATAACAGTAGGAAAGAAATTTTTTTCAATTCGATTTTTA